CCCGCAGGCCGGCGCTTGGCCCCTCCTGGGTCGAGGAGCTGGAGCGGGCGCCGCGCTCGGGCCGCTGCGCAGGGCGTAAAACGCAGCGGTGTGAAACGCCCGCCCAGCCTCTTCCTAACGCCGTTCTTGCTCCTCAGTTCGCCCGAAGGTGGATGCGGGAAGAGCATGGATATGGGTAACCAACACCCCTCCATCAAACGGTTGCATGAAATACAGAAGGAAGTCAAGGAGATTGAGCAGCAGGTCGCCGTCTTCAGCGGTTTGCCTTCCGACAAAGATTATAAGAATTTGGAAAGGAGTCTTACTAAGCAGCTCTTTGAAATCGATTCTGTGGACACGGAAGGGAAAGGCGATATTCAGCAAGCCAGGAAGCGTGCGGCTCAGGAAACAGAGAGGCTGCTCAAGGAGCTGGAGCAAAACGCAAACCATCCCCGCAGGCTGGAAATAGAGGCTATTTTCAAGGAAGCACAGATGCTTGTGGAGCGTGAGATTACACCTTTCTACAAAGGAGGCAACTGCGTAAGCGAGGAATTTGAAGAAGGTATTCAGGACATCGTACTAAGGCTTACTCAGGTGAAAACTGGAGGGAAAATTTCATTACGCAAAGCGAGGTATCGCACTCTGACAAAAGTCTGTGCTGTTCAGGAGATTATAGAAAGCTGTGTAAAGCAGCAACTGTCGCTGCCACTCTCTAATGATGCGCATCCTTCTGTCTCCAAAATTAACTCTGTAATGTGTGATGTGAACAAAGCCAGAGGAACTCTCATTGCTCTTCTAATGGGAGTGAATAGTAATGATACCTGCAGGCACTTATCCTGTGTGCTCACAGGCTTGATTGCTGATTTGGATGCCTTAGATGTCTGTGGTCGCACGGAAATAAGAAACTACAGAAAGGAAGTAGTTGAAGAGATCAATAAACTGCAAAAGTACCTGGACTTGGAAGAGGAAGCAAAGTCTACCCATGCTTATGATTTGGCCCAAAATCAGTCCATTCTTAAAATAGAAGAAATCCGCAAGAAAATGAAGGAAGTTAATTCTTTACTTTTAAAAACAGAGAATGCTTCTGATTTGTATTTGAGATCCAAAGCAGAACTGCAAGGATTAATTGCGCAGTTAGATGAAGTCAGTCCAGAGAAAAACCCATGTATTAGAGAAGCCAGGAGAAGAGCAGTAATAGAAGTGCAAACTCTCATAACGTATATTGATTTAAAGGAAGCACTTGAAAAAAGGCAAATATATCATGAACAAACAGCTGCTGAACATCAGTCTCACAAAGCAGTTTGGAGCGTTCTCGGAAACT